CGCCCGGCTAATTTTTTGATTTATTGTAGAGATGAGGTCTCACCAAGTTGCCCAGGCAATCCACTCACCTCAGCCTCCCAAAGCGCGGTATTACAGGCTGAGCCACTGAGCCCGGCTTTTTTTTTTTTTAATCTGTTATAGGATGCTATGCTAGAGTCAGATTGGAAAACAAACTTAGTATATAGGGTAATAGGATAATAAAAATTCATTTAGTGAGTTCTTATTAGGCAGTGACTTCCTAAGCCTTTAGTTAGGAATTTGAGTATGAGAAGAAGGTCAAGTTCAGTTCTCCATTTTCCCACTGGCTAAACATCATTCTCAACAGCAGGAGGTCCCATGGTACTAGGAAGGTTCATTCGTAGGGCTATCTATTCTGTTTACCTGGCAAGGCTCATTCCTAGAATTGTCCAAATGGGGTCAATAGTGTCCACCTGAGTAATGTTGAATTATGGAAAAGGACATGGTTTAACCTGATTTTATAGCCAGTTGTTTGAAGGTGAGAGGGAGTCAGGCCTAGAATTTAGTCTGAAAACACATCCTGGATCGGTTTTATAATACAAGCTATTATGATCCAGGCCCTTGATTTTGTTTTTTTCCTTTTCCTGTATCTGGCATAGCATTTACAAGACACATGTAAAGATAACATAGTAACAGGTGTAGAGTTGAGAGTTATTTCATAGTTCATGAGGATTGGCCTGGTTCGATGTTCCTGGAGGACACTTGCCTTAGTTGTTGCTCTGGAGACCAGCCAGACCCCAGGTGCCTTCTTAAATTGCAGGCAGGTGGCGATGGGCCAGCTCAAAGACCAGGTGTGGTTGGAGATATGGTCGGGTGCTCGCCCTCGGTGTAAGATGCGACTGCAGTTTGACTCCCCTAATTTTTGCAGCACAAGAGTCAGTCAGAAACACCCAACAAGGTCCCAGGTGGTCTCAAATTAGAAACAATAATTGTGAATGACAAAAGTTTCAAGACAGCCAATGTCAAAAGTGCAATCAACAAGAAAACTTAGCTGTTCTGTAACATACAGCAGCATATTTTTATAAACTTATTGTAACTTTTATAACTCTCTGCTAGAAAACAGACCACCGCTTTAAGGACACCCACGGGCTCAGATGTTGACCTGCATCAGTGTGCTGTTGATAAAAGCTGCAGGGCCTAACATGCCTCCCCTTCTGCGTAGCACTCTAAACACTGAACATTGAAAGCCAAGTTCAGGGCCCAGGTATCATCAGGTCGTTTCAGATGCCTGGTGGCATAGACCTCCTGCTATGTCAGATGTGTACTTCACTGTTGGCTCCAGATGTCTTGTCTTGCACAGTGTTTTAAACCTGAACCTAGCCGGGCGTAGTGGCTCATGCCTGTAATCCCAGCACTTTGGGAGGTGGAGACAAGAGGATTGCCTCAGTCCAGGGGTTCAAGACCAGCCTGGGCAACATGGTGACATCTTATCTCTACAAAGCTGCAGTGGCCGTGAGTGTGCCACTGCACTACAGCCTGGACAACAGAGTGAGACTCCAACTCAAAAATAAAAGTGAAATACTTGCATCATTTTTCTCTCTGTTTAAAAAAGAGAGAATCTGGCCGGACTCGGTGGCTCAGCCTGTAATCCCAACACTCTGGGAAACCAAGGTGAGTGATTGCCTGAGCCCAAGGGTTTGAGACCAGCCTGGGCAACTTGGTGAGACCTCGTCTCTACAATAAATCAGAAATTAGCCGGCCATGGTAGTGCACACCTATAGTTCCAGCTACTTGGAAGGCTGAGGCGGAAGGATCGCCAGAGCCCAGCAAGTCAACGCTGGGGTGACTGTGAGCGTGCCACTGCGCTGCAGCCTGGGCAACAGAGTGAGACTCCACCAAAAAGAAAGAGATAATTTTAAAATGCACATTTCAGCTGAAGTCAGGCCAGTTTAGATTGCATTCTGAAGCAATGTCAGGAGCAGATCGTCTCCTCCCTCAGTGACTTGCAGATTCATAGTAATGTGGAAAGGCTCTTAATTGAATTTTCAAATTGCATTCCAGGTTTGCAGCCTCTGGCGATGTCCAGCGTCACATCATTATTCACTCAGGAGAAAAACCACACTTGTGTGACATCTGTGGTCGAGGTATAGCTGAGTGCTTTTCCTTCTTTTCTTGAAGATTTCTGATTAAAATGTTCTCCGTTCTTCAGCTTAACACTTGCTATGGTCTCTCTAGGGTTCAGTAACTTCAGTAATTTGAAGGAGCACAAGAAGACACACACGGCTGATAAAGTCTTCACCTGCGATGAGTGTGGAAAGTCTTTTAACATGCAGAGGAAGTTGGTCAAGCACAGGATTCGGCACACGGGGGAGCGGCCCTACAGCTGTTCCGCCTGTGGTGAGTTTCTGGCTGTCACCTGGTCATCGCGGTACGGGACAGGTTTCGTCCTTGCTCCACCCATGCCTGGGAGAAGCCATTTGTTTTCTCTTAGGTAAATGGGAGTAATGTTTCTTACCGCTTCGCATGCTTGTCTCTCATTCCCCCTTTGTGCACTTGTCAGTTATTTACTGCCTGTGTCTGGGGGGCAAGTGCTATTCTAGGGGTTCCAGGACCAAGATGACGGACGCAGAGTCCCAGGGGCCAAGAGTCACTGGTCCAGATGAAAGCGGGTGGCAGTTGGAGGGGCTGGAGGGCAGGATGTGCAGCTGCGGCGGCTGCATGGAAGGGCCTGGCCTCGGGGCTGTGGCCAGAGCATTAGCAGCATGTGCTGGGGTCAGGGTACGGAAGGTAACACCCATTGCTTTAAAGCCGGGCTTGGTGGCTCAGCCTGTCATCCCACGCCTTTGGGAGGCCGAGGTGAGTGGATTGCCTGAGCGCACGGGTTTGGGACCCGCCTGGGCAACTTGGCGAGACCTCATCTCTACAATAAATCAAAAATTAGCCAGGCGTGGTAGCACATGCCTGTAGTTCCAGCAACTTGGAAGGCTGAGGCGGAAGGATCGCCGGAGCCCAGCAGGTCCAGGCTGCGGTGGCCGGGAGCGGCCACTGCACTCCAGTCTGGGCGACAGAGTGAGACTCCAACTCAAAAAAATACACAAATAAATAAAATAAAATAAATCACGAGTGTAGTCTCCGGCCACTAATTTAAGATGTCAGTTCCAAATGATTGTCACAACCGGGAACTTGATCTACAGTTGAACGTTCTCTTCCCGCCCCACCCGGGACATCTCAGACTCCCGCAGTGCAAGCAGCAAAGTGGGACCTTCTCGCCCTCCCCCACCTCACATGTCCACCCCTTCCCCTTCCCCACCTCCCTGTCTGTGGCCTCTGACCCTGGCAAGGTCAGCTTCGGGGGAATAGGCGAGAGATAAGGAGAACAGAAATGTTTTAGGCGACAGGTCTACATTTTTTATTTGAAAATAGCTTTATTTTAGAGACAGACAGGATTTCCCTCTGTTGCCCTAGCTAGAGTGCAGTGGTACAGTCACAGCTCACTGTAGCCTCCAATTCCTGGCCTCAAGCAATCTTTCTGCTTCGGTATCCTGAGTAACTGGGACTGTAAGTACACATCACCATACCTGGTTTTTTCTTTTTACTTTCTTTTTTTTTTTTTTTTTTTGCAGAGGTGAGATTTTACTGTATTGCCCTGGCTGGTCTCGAACTCCTAGGTTCAAGCAAGCCTCCCAAAGTGCTGGGATTTCAGGATGAGCCACTATGCGCAGCTAGGTTCAATTTTTTTTTTTAACCAGCTTTAAGACGATATTCCTGTATCATAAAATTTACTGGTTTAAAGTAAACAACTCAACAGTTTTTGTTACATTCACAAAGTTGTGTAGCTCTCACCAGTCTATTTTAGAACATTTTCATCACCCCCAAAAGAAGCCTCATACCATTAGCAGTCATGCCTCATTCCCAGCCCCAACTCCTGGCAATCACCAGTCTATTTCCTGTCTCAGTGGACTTGCCTGTTCTGGACATTTCCTGTGAATGGACTCACCTACCATATGGTGTCTTTTGTAGCTGACTGCTTTTACTTAGCAAATATGCCGTGGACGTTCTTGTACAGGTATTGCATGAGTATGTTGGGTATATAGACAGGTTCCGTTTTACAGTGGCTTCACATTCTGAGATTTTTGGTGTTCAGAGCTGCCCTTGGGTTTTTCAAAGTTCTCAAGGTAGCCTTCCCTTCTCTTTTCCAACATTTCACTGCAACTGTCCAAGACACAGGTGCACATTTCCTTCCAGCTGGCTGTTCCCTTCTAGCCCTGGGCTGTACGGCAGCTTACTCCAGGGAGATGCTGTCTGTTGGAGTGTCACCGCCTTCTAGGCTGATTCAGAGCAGCCCCAGCATGCTTCTTGTCTAGCTGGTGGCAGGCGTGCATGTCCTGTGCTGGGCGGCATGAAGGCCATAGCACTGCTGCAGTGGCCCTCCTGTCTCTCACTGACTCCACCAGGAAAGAGGTGGGTGCCACTCCGCTGGACCAGCCTCACACCAGGACACAAGTGGAGCAAGCTCTCTCGGCTGGAGGGACAAGGGAAAGGCACCTCCGGCCCGTGCTCCTCTCTCGTAGGAACTCTGCTGTGGCGAGCATTTGTACGCATTAAAGACCCTGAAAACGATTGTCCCACTTGACCTAGTAATTCTGCTAGTGAGAATTTATCTCAAAGAGACAAAGAAAGATTGAAACGTCATGCCTGAAGATGTTAACTGAGCTACATTGTACATCATGTATGGTAGTAATTATGAAGCTTCTAATCCATAAAAGACCACATATCTGAGGAAAGCATACATTATAAAGACAACACAAGCCGGGGACGGTGGCTCACACCTGTAATCTGAGCACTTTGGGAGGCAGGGGCCAGAGGATTGCCTGAGGTTAAGGGTTCAAGACCAGCCTGAGCAACACGGCAAGACCTCATCTCTATAGTAAATCAAAAATATCAGCCAGGCATGGTGGCACATGCCTGTGGTTCCAGCTACTTGGAAGGCTGAGGTGGAAGGATCGCCTGAGCCCAGCAGGTTGAAGCTACAGTGGCTGGGAGCATGCCACTGCACTCCAACCTGGGTGACAGTGAGACTCTGACTTAAAAAATAAATACATAAATAAAACAAAGACAGCACAGCAGACTAAAAATATTTTCACTGCAGTACCCGTGAAGGAGGCTGAGCCTGACATTGTGGGCGTAACATAGAGGAACCACAAAGGCCAAGGTCACTGTGGTAGGTTATCTATAAGGAATAGGTGCGGAGAGTTTAATGCGTGCATGTCACATCTAGTTTTATGTTCATAGGCTTTTTTTTTCCTTTTAATAACCCACCTACCTGTTGCTTGACTGGGGCTGGGTAGTTGAGAATTCAAATATAGGGACATGAGAATAGATGAGAAGCTCAAACTTGTGTCCACATGAGTTGTGTGTCTACTCTTAGGTAGTCCTTTGTGAAGATGACACGACTGTGTAAGACTGTGTCGAGCTGCCACCTCTACCTTCCTCCTATTCTGATTGTTGAACCAGACCCCTTACCTTTACCAAGCTCACGGAAAGAGAAATAGAGCCTGGAGAGGCATGTGTGAAACTGTGTTGGAAGCTGAATACATATTCATCTTTAGAAAAGATGTTTCTAAGCCGGGCTCGGTGGCTCAGCCTGTAATCCCGCACCTTTGGGAGGCTGAGGTGAGTGGATTGCCTGAGCCCGTGGACTCGAGACCTGCCTGGTCAGCAAGACCTCATCTCTACAATAAATCAAAAAATTAGCTGGGTGTGATAGCACGCGCCTGTTGTTCCAACTACTTGGAAGACTGAGGTGGAAGGATCGCCGGAGCCCAGCAGGTCGAGGCTGCGGTGGCCAGGAGTGGTCACTGCACTCTAGTCTGGGCGACAGAGTGAGACTCCAACTCAAAAAAAAAAAAAAAAAGATAGAAAATATGTTTCTAAAGTACACATTGGCAGTGTCAGATTTGTGAACATTTCAGGGAAGCCTACAAGGAGGGCTAGGTTTCCCAGCACAGCCCACCAAGAGCAGGCACCTGTGCTTACCAGCATGGCACCCTGACAGGAGGCACTAATGAGAGTCGAGAAGACTCACTCTGAGACACTCAAAATCCGAAGGCTTTCCACCGCTGAGAAGGCCCTCCCACAGGAACAGAGAGCCTTCTGAAGTGGGCAGGGGCCGTCCGACGGCCAGCTCTCCTTAATTCAGTGTCTTGGGAGGGGGAGGAAGGAATCTTCCAGAATGACCACGATAGACACATGCTTCTTTCTTTTTCCAGGGAAGTGTTTTGGGGGGTCAGGCGACCTCCGCCGACATGTCCGCACTCACACCGGGGAAAAGCCGTACACGTGCGAGATTTGCAGCAAATGCTTCACCCGCTCTGCGGTACTCCGGCGGCACCGGAAGATGCACTGCAAAGCTGGCGGCGAGAGCCCGGAGGTGCTGGGAGAGTTCGGCCAAGCCGTCGAGCCCTCCGACCTTGAGAAGTCTCAGAGCTCAGACTCTTTCTCACAAGACCCGTCAGCGACGTTGATGCCTGCGTCAGGGAAGCTCCCCGTCCAGCCTGTGGAAAACGCTGTGACAGAACTGGACAGCCATGCTGCTGGCTCCTATTGTAAGTTGCGGTCCATGATGCCGCCTCGTGGTGTCCGTAACCAAGAGAAGCTGGGTCTGGATCCTGTGAGGCTTGCTAAGCCCCAGATGCCGCAGACGCAGCCTCAGACATATGTGTACTCGGACGTGGACACCACCGCCAGCGACGAGCCGCTGCAGGCCGATGGCCTGTCCATGATCCGCTCATCTCTGGCTGCTTTGGACAATCACTGCAGTGACCCCTTGGGTAGTCGTGCATCTTCCACAGCTTACAGGAACTCAGAGGGACAGTTTTTCTCCAGCATGACTCTCTGGGGGCTAGCAATGAAGACACTGCAGAATGAAAACGAGCTGGACCAGTGACGCACTGTGTCAGCATTTCTTCATGGCAGAGGCAGTGTTCCCTCAGTTGGGCAGCCTGGGATCGAGGCCACGGGAGGAACCGTCTTCCTGTGGCTGGTCCCTTCTCACAGCCAGAGGACGTTCAGAGAATTTCCCTCCTGAGGATGGCAGATAATTTGAAGCATCTTGAGCTCAGGGCTGGGGAAGAAGGGCCAATGGCTCACCGTGATGCAGACGCAGGCCTGGGGAGCCTGCGTCACGACACCAGGGCTGGGAGACGCCGTCTCGCTCACTGCAGCTGGCACAAGAGCTTGCGGACTCTGTCCACACTGTAAGGCTGTGTGGTGCTGAAGAAATGAGACATGCATCACAAGACAATACTATTTTTGCATTTGAAAGATCAAAATTTGTAGCATTTGTATTTTTAAATATTTACAAAGATTTTATTTGCATATGAAATGCATACTATAATTTAATTTGAATAAATGAAACTTGCTTTTCTACATAATATGTCTCTTCCAGCATTTTAATTAATCTAAGGACCACAGAGGTATAAAAATAAGTATCAACTAGGACTCACCCTGCCAGGATAAGAGCCGTGTCGGTTGTCCTCCCCTCCTGGTACAGCAGCCTTGTGTGGTCAGAACATCCTCGCTCCGGGCTGCTGCTTCCTGTCTGGGTTGTGGGCAAGCTACTCACCCTCTCAGGCTCTTCTCTGGGTTATCTTTTCTGCAGTATGAGAGGAATATCTTTTAGTGTTTTTAGAAGGCGCGAATGATCTGACTGGAAAACACCTGCCTAGGACCTGGCTCTTGACAGAGCGTTCTCCACATGTATTTCCTCTTCCCAGCAGACGCGACGGCCTCTGGGAGAAGTTGATGTGCCAGCGGCTCTGTTGCTAGACTCTGGAGGGGAGATGGTAGACACGAAGGTGCAGCTGCCTTGTGGTGTGGTACAGATGGCCTACCTGTAGCGGGGCCGGCATAGGGGCCGGGATGTAGGAGGGCACCTCGCATGCTCACGTTCGTGGTTCTGACTCAGACATGAAGACATACCCAGTGAGAGAAGCTAGGATTCCCATGGAAAGCAGCACTGACAGAGGAGGGGATTTGCTCCTATGTCCGACACAGGGCACGTCCCGGCTTCCCAGCCATCAACTGTGCTGGGGTCCCCCTGGCTGGCACAGTCAGCATCTGTTCTCCCATCATACATGCAGAAGAACCTGAGCTCCATGGGGGTTTGGCAACCTACATGAGAACATGCAGTTAATGAGGGGAGAATCTGGTGTGGGGCGTGCTGGGGAGGTGTGAACTTGGAGCGTGGAGGTCGCGCATGAGTGCTCATCTCTTTGTTCCCTCCAGGGCCGCCTCCAGCTCCTCCCTCATCCGGTAGCACCTCAGCCCCCTCAGCACTGCAGACCATGGAGCCCCTCATCTTCCCAAGTGGACCCTCCTCAGCCAGGCTAAACCCTGTGCCCCAGGGCCATTTGCCACGCCACCCCTTTGTTGAACTCACTTGGTGAACCCCGACCTGCCCTCTGTGCCTGTATGTGGGGGCCAAGCCAGGCTAGCGAGAAACAGCCATTGTCTGGTTTTTACACCAACACTGTCCTGAGCCCACACCCATCCTGCAACCCTCTCTCCAAGATCTGGACCACGAGCGGTCCTGGACAGCTGTGTTGCATGTCTTCTCACACCTCTGCAGTGCCCCGTCCTCCCGTTCATGACCTTGCTTCCTAGTTCTGTGAAAACATTAGAAGCAAATTGGAAGGGACTCTCCTCAAGCTCCCCCCGTACCTTCCGCCTCCCTGTGTTTGCGTCTGTGGACTCTGCATGCCATCTGAAACCTGCCCCCACCCCTGGGTCTCCCATCCTGCTTTGCCCCACTAAGACTCCTATCACAGTCTGACCTGCATAGTATATTGTTTCCCCCGTTAGGGTATAAGCGCTCTTTGTCTCTTTTGTCCACTGCTTTATCCCCAGAGCCCAGAACAGCACCTGGCACTTAGTAGATGTTCCGTAAATAATTGTCAAATGAATGTTTTTGGAATACCTTTTAGTCAAAATGTTGGCCCTCCTAGATTGACCTAATTTTCTTTTCTCCTGCACTCTGCCCATCAGACGTTTCTCCCATAACTCCACTGGAATGCTTTTGGCCCAGGCCGCCTCTCCATGGCTAAATCCAGGGGTCAGTTCTCGATCTGCATCTCAGTTGACTCATCGGCAGTATCTGACATTTCAGCCATAAGTGGATCCTTTTCCTCGAAGCAAGAAGTGAGAGAAGGCCACTCGCTCTAGGTCTCCCTCCAGACACGGGCACCTCAGCCTCAGACTCCCCTCCCAGTTCACATTTGGAGGTTGGGGTGCCCAAAACAGGCCCCGACCTCCCCTGGCCCGGCCCACTCCCTAGCCTCTCCTGTCCACGGCCTTGGGTGCTGCCTGCCCCGGCTCCCAGACGGGCATGTGTCCTGGCCTCCCTGGAGCCCGTCCCCAGCTGCCGCCGGCATCTTCACGACACCCCAGCCTGAAAGCTCTCAAGACCAAGCTCCTCCTCCTCTTCCCACTGCCTCTGCTCTCGGCCTTCCCGCTGAAGGGCAAGTCCACGAGTGGGCACAGTGGCTCACACCTGCCGTCCCAGCACTTTGGAAGGCCAGTGGGGGAGGATCGCACGAGCCCAGAGACCCCATGTCTGCAAAAAAAGAAGGCAAATCGTTCTTCCAGCTCCTCAGACTAAACACCTCCAGAGCTCTCTTCCATAGGAGGCATTATGGAGTGCCTCCTGCATCTCAGGTGCCAGGTTTGCAAGATGCACAAAGAGCAAGACTCGCCAGGGCCAAGGGAACGACAAATCCGTCTGCTTGATGAGGACAATCACTTGTTTTTGTGCAAAACTTTAGGGACAAACATGGAACCAAAGCTCGTTTCATCCATCTTTCTTGTCTCTTCCTTTTCTCTCCTTGTCACCCAAAGCCTTACCCTGAATGAAGAAAAGCTCAGAAGACGTGGAGAGGCTTGGACGTCGTGGTCACACACCAGGGCAGCACGTTATCCGACGGTGAGCCAGACCTTGACCTGGTGCTGCAGACATGGCATGGGCCATCCACAGCAAGAACAAGCGTAGTGGAGGTGGGGGTGCAGTTTGCACGCATGCTCATGTGCACACACATCATCGATCCAGGATCAGGATGCCGGGATTGTGCTCTTGGCTCCATCGTGTGCTCTGGGCTCTGATCGTGTGACCAATGCCCTCCTCTCACTGGTCTGCAGTGCCCTGTGGTGACAGAATTTCCATTTTAGTGCTCTGTGATTCTCTAAGAAGAGCCCTGAGTAGGTTTCATAGAACCTTCCAGGGTCAGGAACTGGCCTCCATTGCAAAGTTGGGGGCAGAGGCCAAGAGACCAGGCAGGTCCTCAGAAAACCCTAGCGTCTTAGAATATCTGGGCCAGAAGGGACCCTAGAGATTAGATTCTGTTTCTGTGACTCAGCTGGAAGGCTTGCTGACACAATGCAGAGGTTTGTAAATGTGGATGCTCTAGGTCAGGAGTAAGGCCTGGGAGTCAACACTTAGTGAGATTTCTAGATGATTCTGAGGCAGATAGTGCAGGACAGCACTTGAAGGAGCCCTCATTATCGATGCCCTGAGATATGAAGCGACTCCCTGGTGATAACAATGGCAGGGGCACATTGTGTCAGTCGTGTGCCAGGCATAGTGGCCAATGCTCTACAAGTCAGCTCACTTACGTGCCATAAGAACCGTGTGAGGTGGATCCCGTGAGGGTCCCATCGACGGATGGGGAAAGTGACTCCCAAGAGGTCAAAGACCAGGAAGTGACAGAGAGCTCCCAAGGGCCCGGTGACTTATTGGCCAAGTCCCAAGCCAAGATCAGACTCAGCCCAGTATGGAACACAGGGCTTCCCTGCCAGTCTGCTGCTATCATGTCCGTGAAATTCATCACCTGTTCTCCAAGAGCCTCTCACCTCCTTCCTCTTTATTCCAACTTTTTTTACTTTTTGGCAGCGATGGGGGTCTTGCTCTGTGGCAGTCTGGCCTCGAAACTCCTGGACTCGAGCGATCCTCTCTCCTTTGCCTCCCAAAGTGCTGAAATTGTAGGCGTGAGCCCCCATGCCCAGCTTTACTTCTTTTTTTTAAATTTACTTAAGTGATAACGCGTGGACAGAAAGGAGAAAACCGGAAAACACAAATAAGCACAAAGGAAAAGCGGTTTTATGCCGGGAGGTGATGAAGATGATGCTGACTTCAGTACTGCCTGCAACACAGCTGGTGCTCGCCGAGCCGTGGCCCTCGGTGTCTCCTGTGCCCCTCCGACAACCCAGAGCGGTGGTTCGCCGTGAGGTCCCGGTTTGCCTCAACGTCTTCCTCTCCTGTCAGAGACAAATACATTTAGACTCTTGAACTTTTCCTATTTATGCACGTATGCATTTACTTACTTTTGAGTCAGAGTTTCACTGGGCGCTGGCGATCCTGCCGCCTCAGCCTTCCAAGGAGCCAGAACTACAGGCATGCGCCACCACGCCCGGCTACTTTCTTGATTTATGGAAGAGATGAGGTCTCACCAAGTTGCCCGGGCGGGCTCGAACCCATGGGCTCAGGCAGTCCTCTCGCCTCGGCCTCCCAAAGTGCTGGGATGACAGGCATGAGCCACCGTGCCCGGCCGAACATTTTGTACACGTGGCTCATGCCATGTATGCTGCTTTGTTGTCTCCTGTTGCACATAACAAGTTGTCATGAGCATCTTCCCTTGTCAAAAACTGTGCTGACCCCGGCACAGAATCCCATGCCACGCGCCCATCACGCTTCCCTTCCCAGTTCTGAGCAGACAGTGGGTGCCCAGCCCGACTCACGGCCCCAGGCCGCTCTGCTGCTTCGAGCCGGGTTTCCTTCCAGCCGCCAGGTGGCAGCATCGCTCCTCACAACAGGCGGAGCCATGGCCGGCTGACCTCCAGTCCTGAAGCTACCAGGAGGGGTGGCATTCCCGCAGCCCTCTGCCGAGACGGGCCTCGACTTCCCCCCACATCGGTCCTGTTGGTGAGGTGGCGATTTCTTTCACCCAGTTTGGAGGAATGTGCCCTGAGAAGCAGGGCCACTTGCTGACTTACTTTTCAGCCTGTTAAGTGCTGAGGATGACCTGGACCCTAGTGTTCGCACTGGAGATGCCCTGGCACCTGGAAGCAACCCAGCCCAGGCCCTGTCCTCCCAGCTTGCAGCAGGGCTGCACCCAACTGGAGTGTGAACTCAGGCAAGCTTCCAGGCTTCTGCGCCTCAGTGACTCGTTTTGTACAAATGGGCTGGAAAACAGCTTTAAGAGGTTGGTCGGTCAGTGGGTACAAACACACCATTAGATAGAAGGAATGAGCCGGGCTCGGTGGCTCAGCCTGTAATCCCGCGCCTTTGGGAGGCTGAGGTGAGTGGATTGCCTGAGCCTGTGGGTTCGAGACCCACCTGGGCAACTTGGTGAGACCTCATCTCTACAATAAATCAAAAATTAGC